TCAACTCGGGATAAAAACTTGGCTCCTTGATAACTTACGTGATAGACTAAACAGCATCAAAAATCACACCTGAAAAGGATTCTTAAACATAATTCCTACACAACTTTACGAAAGAAAGCACGGGCTTTTAATGTTTATAAGGTTTTTCTTGTTAAAAAAAACACAGAAAGTGATCTAAATTTTTAAAATTCCTTCAAGCCAACCAGCTTCTAGTTTTAAAAAGGCTTTTTTTCTTTCAAGTAGAGACTAGTCTAGTACGAGGTGTGATTGCTATCCAAATATGTGTTCCCAAAGGCTCACAGTTGAAAGATTGCATATAATAACAAATGTCATCCTAAGCCACACAGATGCACTGAGAAACAGAATACTTAAAAAGTGACCCCACCCAACTATCTCTCCTCACTTTAATGCTGGCACCTATTTTATCATCCGTCAGTCTCCAGCTGACTACAGAAATTTGGAAAGTTCTGATAACTCATTATAACTACAATTAAGTTATACCTACCAAACCAGAAGATTTTTTAAGTTGATCAAATTAACACTGATAAATTCCTTAAATCATATTCAACATCATCAAGAATTAAGAAGCAGGCAAAATTAGACTACTTAAAATACGTAAAAAGAATATAAGAATGATGACCAAACAGATGGTCCAAAAGGGTATTTTGAATGAAGTAATAAAGAATATTTCTTACAAAACTAAAAATAACCAAAAATATTTTCGCAAAAATGACCACTTGAAATGAAGCATGTCACAACATATTATCACATAAATGTCTACAAGAGCATTCAAAAAAGTTTATTTTTGCAAACATAACCTAAATTTTAAAAATAGAAGATAAAATTATTTTAACAAATATCTTAGCTCTTCTAAAATAAAATCCCAATTATTTGTCCTACTTTTCATGCTAAAAGTTTGTTCCTTTCTCTACGTGGATCTTAAAGCAGTGGCCTCTACCTATGCCAGTTTATCTTAGATAACAAAAACCTCCTACATTAAGTATTTCCTAACCCATTTTGCTTTCATAAAATCCAGGGAGAAGCTGATCTCTGATCTTCGAACAACGAAGAATCCTACAGAATCCGAACTAAAACCTAAGTATCCTAAATACCTAGAACCCAGCACCATTAACCGTCCATTCCTTCAGTAGTTAGCTCCTTCCAAGGTGTAAATACTCCAGAATTAAGTTGAAAGTCACACATACCTTCTGAATGACTACTGAATGACAGCTAACCAGGGTATTCCAAAATATTTTTCTGTATCTACATAAGAATATAATAGGAGAGATATGTGGGCTTCATCAATACTGTAGTCCTGACATTAATTTTTTAGCACTGAGAACATGATCTAATGTTTTCGTCAAACAAATGCCCCAGCTAAACTGACTTTCAGTCCCATTTCTTCTGAATATTTGCCCTTGTACAGTAAAACATGATGACACTGCAAATGAGAGCCTTAACTAAATACCCTGAGTTGAAAAAACCCTCACAAACACCTACTCAACCACAATTTTCCTTTTCATCTGACTGATTCCTACCAAGCCTTCCTCTCTTCAGATGGACTGAAAATCAAAGTTGATAAACCATAGCATAGGAAAAAGGACCACTGTACTACATGTCAGCCAAGAAAAAATAGGCCCGTAAACATTTACAATACATGCATTCAATAACTATTGGATCACATAATCCCAAAATAAAAATGGAGATACTTTTCTATGACTCGGATGTCACTTTGGATTTATTTTCTGATGAATAAAATCTACCTGTTGAGGGAAGCAAATGAACAGACTCTTCTCAGAATTTAAAAGTGCTTAAAAAGGCCCAAGGGAGGCTACAAGAGGCTTACCCAATTGAGCCAACAGAGACAAAACACTTTATTCTACCAGAACATATAGAGATCCAGGGGGGGCAGGTGACAGGGATGAGATAAGCAACTTTGCCAGGTGATACAAAACACACATACACACACAACACTTGAGGTTCTCACACTTCACTGGCCTACGAATGCCCCCATCACCCTCAGAGCACAGCCTCTTCCCACCTTTAGTATACCCACATCTGAAGGCTACATTTTCATTTTTTGTGAATTCTTTTCAGACTTCAATTGATATTCATTTCAATCTCTTCACTCCTATAAAAATGCTTGTGTGGAGTTGGCGGGGAAGATGTATCAGAATAAGCAGTTAGAACTGGAACATGTATGTGTTCGTTTCACATATATGTATATGCCAGGTCCTAGGCCAGGCATGAAGGGTTTACACTGATGAGCAAAATGGACATCTTCCCTCCTCTCAAAAAGCTAGCCACGGGACTTCCTTGGCAGCCCAGTGGTTAAGACTCCACGCTTCCTCTGCAGAGAGTATGGGTTTGGTCCCTGGTTGGGGAACTAAGATCCTGCAGGCAGCCCAGGGCATTTAAAAAAAAAAAAAAAATCCCCCATGGCAGGGTCCTTTTTGTCTTGGCTTAATCTTCTAGAGAATTCAGACAGAAGCAAAGTAAACACACCATAGCCTCTGAGCTATCTGATTCACATAATATCTTTTCAATTACATATATATGTATATATGTCTACATATGTATTCATACCTTCATATCCACACACTATATGTGTATGCATTGTTCCCACTTAACTAATGTAAAAAATGTGTCCCCAGCTATCTAGACTCAACTTTAAGTCTTTTATTCTACACTATATTTTCCACACAACTATTTATTTGGGGAATATTTGAATGTTTCTGCCAAATTTTAAGTCACAGGGAAACTGAAATGGCCTTTTGGCAATTTGGGGGGTAAAGTAGCATCAGAAGGAAAAAAAAGATGAAGCCTTTACACAATCATTTACAGGACAATTTAAAAATCCAGAGACAATTTACTTGACTCTCAATCCAACAAGGCAGTATTCTTTACCTTTCCAGTGATTTGTTCCACCCCAAGGATACAGATTCCAGATATGTTCTAGAGACATTTTCCTATTAAGTTTAATAATAACCCTAATAATCACCACACTGATTCAAAATAACAGGTAGACAAGTATTAACTACAGAGTGACAACTCTCCAGTTTAAAGTGAACGTTTTACAGTTTTTATAGCATATTGACTTAGCGTATACTGACTTATAATAATACTATTCTAAAACTAGTTCTCGTAGACACTTCCTTCCTAACTAGAGGATTGTCCATCTTTTCCCTTAGTTTAATACAGAACACTAGGTAGCCAAAAAGAAGAATGAAAATCTGGCATTTACTAGGATATGTGAAATGGAACTCTACAGAAGTCAACAGAAAACTAAATTCAAATATTTATGGAAGCAATGCAAAGGACTGAACTTGAGATACAGTAGTAACAATAAACTACAAGAACTAACAGTTTAAAAATGCTGTGTGTGTGTGTGTGTGTGTGTGTGTGTGTGTGTGTATGTATGTATTTGGTGAAGAGAAGCAAAGGAAAGGGGTAGAAGGAAAATTCATTGATGACACAGATTCCCACCTGCATGCCTGCCACAACTATACTGCCACCAAGAGAAGTCAATTGATGGGGAATGTGCTTCTGGGAGAGATCTGACATGCTAGGTGTGAGAAGATAGTCAAGTACTCAAATGGAAGTACCTGATAAAATGCTGAACAATGTAGGACTGAAGCTCAGGAATCAGATTACAGCAGCATCAGTAAGCTGTGGTTCATCTCATCCAAATTGGAACGAGCAGGAGCTAGACTATTAAATGAAACTAACATTGCAGGCTGCCAAGGGCCCGGCACTATAGTATCAACTACATTTTACATTCAATCATTTTAATCCTGACAGTGATTTAAGAAGTAGGGCTACTAGCCTCATTTCTAAAAGGAGGAAAGCAAGCCTCAGAAAAGTTAAGTAACTTGACCAAGCAACCAAGGTATCCTGAATTCAAAGCCTTTGCTCTCTTTACAGTACTCTTCTGCCTCTTCAGAAGAGTATCTGGGGACATGGTGTGAATGAGATTTCTAAGCAAGTTAATGTGGAGCGATGAATAGGGAGCCAAACAGAACTCTGAATTTATCTCCAACCTGTGGAGACTTAGAGCCCTTCAGCATTCGGAACCCATGATCAGCAGCAATCATGGAACTCATCTCTAGGGCATAAAATCAAATACAATAGGCAGGTGAAATCATCAAACTTCCCCCAATTGCTAATCTGTTTCTACTTGCATGGCTCAGTCTAGAGCTACTTATTTTTAGTGCAAATTTTCTTTATTCTGTATTAATAATCTCACCTAACAAGAATTTAATTCCCACACTATGGCACAGGCCTGAGCTTTATGAATTCAACAATTGCAAAGCAATTGTTTTGAGAATTTCATGTTTGGAAAGCCTTCCCACAGCAAAATGCTGCTGACAACAGATTCTTCTCAGCTAGTTTGTCAGTCCTAGGCTCTGACTTTGTTACTTCCTGGTTTTGCCCTCTGAAATGCCCCTCTGCTGCACAGTTTAAAAGGCCAATCAAGTAAATTCTGTACTAAACATACACTTTTAGGCTTTCACAGAAAAGATCTCTCCAAAACTTTCATGGGCCATTTTTCTAGGACTTCTCTTTTATCTGTTGTTCATTCTACTTTTGCTGTCCATGGAACAGAGAAGATGAAACAACCTAAGAGTATTTTCTTCCATCTGATTTGTGCCCCTCAGTTTTTTAACTTTGAGATTTCTTCTCTAAAGGCATTCTGGTAGTACACTAAAATTAAGCTCTTTCACATTATCCAAACAACAAGTCAACTCAGCAATAACCTCTGAAATTCTAATGAAGGAAAAGACATGCAATTTTTGCTATGGTGAAAACCTATCAGTTCAACCAAATAACTGAAATAATAAGGACCTGCAGTCAGATTACTCAAAGCAAGAAAGTGCATTCAAGAACCCACCGTTTGGGTTTAGATGGATTTCTTCAGTTGGATGAAATTTTGTTAAGAAGAAAAGTTGAATTTCAAGGAACAAAGCCTAAGTTTGAAAAGTCTGCATTAATTCACTTACTGAAATAACAACAACAGGATATAAAATGGAAAGATTACTCTCTTCAAGCATATTCAGTAATTTCTGGGTTTCTTCAAAATCAGAGGTCATAACCTGAAAGACCAGAAAAATAAAAGAAGTTCTTAAATGACTTAAGAGTTCATTGAAGGAAAAAAATGGAGAGCTTTTAAACGTTCAAAATATCTATCAAGCTTAATTTTAAATTTTCAATGTTAAAGGATACCCATAACATTATAGCTATTAAAATTTTTTAAATCAATTCAAACCTATCTTATCTACTTTTTACCAGAAATTTGAAAATACCATCTAAAGAAATATCACCCTCTTCTCATTATATGAACTAGATTGTTAGAAAATGTTATTTCCCTATTTCAAAAGACAAAAATAACATTTCTAAATGCATATTCAATAACACAACTCACCTATCAAAATCTTAAATTCAAATACTTAAGAAACAAGAAAACTAACTACTTGTCAAACATTACATTTATACAAATCCTCAAGTGCTTTCAATCATTTGTATTAACTACTTACATTCACACAAACAAAATTGTAGCATTGCTCTAAGATGATTTGCTGAAGATCTCTGCCAGATGTGACTTTTACATGCTAGGAGAAAAAATTAGAGGAAAAAATAGTTTACAAACTAGATAGAAAGACCAAACATGAGCATCAACAACTTTATGAGCACAAAATTTTTATAGGCACATAACGCCAAGGACCATGCATAAGAGCAAAATAATTCAGACTGAAGTTTATGAGGCTACCAAAAAAGAACCCACTTGAAGTAGTCCCCAAATAATTAACATTATTGTAGCAAATAAGGATATAGGAAATTGTTTTAGATAAAAAAATGTTGAAAAGGCTCAAGATATATTCAGGAATAGGCAAATAGTCTAGTTTTTCTTATACAAAAAATATACAGTAGAAAATATTTGAATAAAATTTAAAAATTGGTTAGACAAGAATTTTTAGAGAATTCTGGAAGCATGTTAAATACTACAGTTACAAAGAATACATTTAACTAAATATGGAATGACTAGAAACAGGGAAAGCAACAAGAGATTACCATCATAGGCCTTCTTCTGAGGGTCCAGATCAAGATAGCAGAGTAGGAAGATCCTGAGCTCACCCCTCCCATGAAACATCAAAACTACAACTACATATAGAATGACTATCTCTGAGAATGACTTGAAGATTAGCAGAACAGACTTTCTACAACCAATGCTATAAAGAAAAGGCCACATCAAGACAGGAAGGACGGGCAGAGGGGCAGACATGCAGTCTAATCAGAACTCCCACCCCCAGTGCAGCAGTCCATAAGCAGGAGGGATATCACAACCGTGAAGGTTCCCTCTGAGGAGCTAGGAGTCTGAGCTAGCTAGTAGTATACATCAAGTATACTAACATTTGAAGTACAGGGGCCCCAGAAGGCAAAGAGAGACAAGGACACGAAACCTATTTGGAAAAACAATGGCTGAAAACTTCCCAAATCTGGGGAAGGAAACAGACATCCATGTCTAGGAAGCACAGACAGTACCAAACAAGATGAACCCAAAGAGACCCACACCAAGACACATTATAATTAAAATGTCAAAATTTAAATATAAAGAGGGAATTTTAAAATCAGCAAGAGAAAAGCAACTAGTTACATACAAGGGAACCCCCCCATAAGACTATCAGCTACTTTTCAGCAGAAACTTTATAGGCCCCAGAAGAGAGTAGCATGATATATTCAAAGTACAGAAAGGAGAAAACTTACAACCAAGAATACTCTACCTGGCAAGATAAAGAGTTTCCCAGAAGTAAAAGCTAAAGTAGTTCATCACCACAAAACTGGCCTTATAAGAAATGTTAAAGGGAATTCTTTAAATGGAAAAGGCCATAGCTAGAAACCAGAAATTTATGAAGGAAAAACTCACTGGTAAAGGAAAATATATAGTAAAGGTAGTAGTAGATCAACCACCTATATAGCTAGTATGAAGATTAAAAGACAAAAGTAGTAAAATTGTCTGTATCTAAGATATTTATTTAAATGATACCCAAAGTAAAAAGATATAAAATATGACATCAAAAGTATAAAGCATGGGTAAGAATAAAATGTTGTGCTTTTAGAACACATTTGAACTCAAGACACCATCAACTTAAAATAGACTACTATATACATAGTTTGTTATATATGAACCTTATGGTAACCACAAGTCAAAAACCTCTAACAGATACACAAAAAATAGAGAAAGGAATCCAAACATAACACTAAAGAAAGTCATCAAATGAGAAGGGAAAAGAACCAGAGAAGAAGAAAGCGATAAAGGACTACAAAAGCAATCAGAAAACAACTAACAAAATGACAATAAGTACATACCTAATCAACAGTCACTTCAATCAAAATGAACTAAATGCTATAATCAAAAGACACAGGTGGCTAAAAGGATAAAAAAAATAAGACCCATCTATAGGTCACCTTCAAGCGACTCACTTCATATCTAAAGACACACACAGACTAAAAGTGAAAGAATAGAAAAGATTTTCCATGTAAGCTAGGGTAGCAATATGCATATCAGACAAAATAGACTTTAAAACAAAAAATGTAACAAGAGACAAAGAATGTCATTATATAAAGATAAAGGGATCAATCCAACAAGAGACTATAACACTTATAAATATCTATGCACCCAAAAAAGGAGCACCTAAGTACATAAAGCAAATATTAACACACATACAGGTAGATATTGACAATAATATGATAATAGTAGACTTTAACACTCCACTTACACCAATAGACATATCAGACAGAATATCAATAAGGAAACACTGGCCTTAAAGACACAATAGACCACTAAAACTTAATAGGTATATACAGACCTTTCACCCCCCAAACAGCAGAATACACATTCTTTAAAAATACACATGAACATTCTCCAGGACAGATCTCATGTTAGGCCACAAAACAAATCTCAATAAATTTAAGAAGACTGAAATCACACCAAGCATCTTTTCTGACCCAAACAGTATAAAACTATAAATCAATTACAAGAAGAAAACTGGAAAAAAAAACACAAACGTTTTGGAGCCTAAACCAAAAGCTACTAATCAATCAATGGGTCAATGAAGAAATCAAAAAAATACTCTGAAACAAACAAAAATGGAAAGACAATTGTTCCAAAATCTATGGTATGCAGTGAAAGCAGTTTTAGAAGGGATGCTTATAGTAATGCAGGCCTACCTCAAGAAACAAGAACAATCTCAAATAAACAATATAACTTTACACCTAAAGGAACCAGGAAAAGATGAATAAAAGAAACACAAAGTTAGTTGAAGGAAGGAAATGATGAAAATCAGAGCAAAAATAAATGAAATAGAGACTTTAAAAAAATCTTTTTCAATCAATGAAACTAAGAGCTGGGGTTTTAAAAAGATTTAAAAAATTCACAAACCTTTAGAGAGACACATAGTGTAAAAAAGAAAGAGAGCCCAAATAAATAAAAAGAAAGAAAAGAAACTACAACTAATACCACAGAAATACAATGGACAAGAGATTACTGTGAATAATTATACACCAACAAACTGGACAACCTAAAAGAAACGGATAAATTCCTAGAAACATAAAGTCTTCTAAGACTGAATCAGGAAAGAATAGAAAATTTGAACAGACTGATGACTGGTAATGAAATTAAATCAGTAATGAAAAAACTCCCAACAAACTAAAGTCTAGGATGTGAGGGCTTCACACGTGAATTCTATCAAACATTTAAATAAGACTTAATACCTACCCTTCTCTAACTATTCCGAAGAATTGAAAAGGCAAAAATGCCTTCAAACTCATTGTAGGAGGCCAGCATCACTGTGATACCAAAACCATATAACAACACTACAAAAACAGAAAACTGATATTCATCAGGCCAATATCAATGATGAACATAGATGCAAAAATCCTCAACAAAATATTAGCAAACTGAATTCAACAATACATTAAAAGCATCATACACCATAATCAAGTGAGATTAATTCCAGGGACACAAGTTTGATTCAATATTCACACATCAATGAACATGATACAGCACATTCACAAAATGAAGAATAAAAATCATATGATCACCCCAATAGATCTAGAAGAAACTTTTGACAAAATTCAACATCCAGTTACAATGGAAACTCTTAATAAGGCAGGTATGGAGGGAACATACCTTAATATATATATGACAAACCCACAGCTAACATCATACTCAATGGTGAAGAGCTGAAAGATTTTCCTTTCAGATCAGGCAAAAGACAAGGATGCCCACCATCACCACTTCTATTCAACATAGTATGGGAAGTCCCAGCCACAGCAATCACACCAGAAAAAGATACAAAAACCATACAAACTGGAAGAGAAAAAATAAAACTGTCACTATTTGCAGATGATATGACACTATGTATAGAAAACCCTAGACTCCACTAAAAACCTATTAGAATAAATGAATTCAGTACAACTGTAGAATACAAAATATGTAGAAATCTGTTGCCGTTCTGTACACTAATAATAAACTATCAGAAAGTGAAATTAAGAAGGCAATTCTATTTATAATTGCATCAAAAAGAATAAAATACCTAGGAATAAATTTAACCAAGGAGGTTAAAGACCTATACTCTGAAAACTATAAAACATTGATGAAAGAAATTAAAGACAACACGATTAAGTGGAAAGACATACTGTGCTCATGGATTGGAAAAAAATTTTTGTTAAAATGATGATACTACCCAAAGCAATCTACAGATTCAGTACAGTCCCTATCAAAATACCCATGGCATTTATTGTAGAACTAATACAAATAATTCTAAAGTACCTATGGAATAACAAAGGACCCCAAATAGCCAAAGCAATCTTGAGAAAGGACAACAAAGCTGGAGGCATCATGCTCCCTGATTTCAAACTATACTACAAAGCTATAGTAATCAAAACTGTATGGTACTGGCACAAAGGTAGACAATGGAACAGAGGAGAGGGCCCAGAAATAAACCTACCTGTATCTGGTTAATTAATTTATGACAAAGAAGCCAATAATACCTAGTGTGGAAAGAAAGTCTCCTCAATAAATAGTTTTGAAAACACTGGACAGTTACATTCAAAAGAATAAAACTGGACCACTTTCTTATACCACATACAAAAATATACTCAAGATAGATTAAAGACTTAAATGAAAGACTGGAAACCATAAAACTCCTAGAAGAAAACATAGGCAGAACACTCTTTGACATAAACCATAGCAAATTTTTTTGGATATGTCCCCTAAGGCAAAAGAAACAAAAGCAAAAAAAACCAAATGAGACCTAATTAAACTTACAAGATTTTGAATAGCTAAGGAAATCACTGATAAAACAAAGATACAACCTACTGAATGGGAGTATTTGCAAATGATATGACCCCAAAAGGGTTAATATCCAAAATACATAAACAGCTCATACAACTGAATATCAAAACAAACATACAACCCACGCAAAACATGGACAGAAGTCCTGAACAGACATTTCTCCAAAGAAGACATATAGAAGGCCAGCAGGCACACGGAAAGATGCTCAACATCACTAATCATCAGAGAAATGCAAATCAAAATCAACATGAGAGA